CCAACAAGCCTGTTCGAAGTCTGCCAACAAACTGCGCGAAAATATTTTCCGTCGTCGGATCGCAGAACGTTACAGAAAATTTTTCGCCCAACACCTACACTTGAAATCGACGGCGAGAGAATGCGAGATGCGATGAAAGTTCTTCTCTCTTCTTCGAGGATCGACAACCTTTCTCCAAGCATTACGTCATTCTTCTTCGCCGCCACGGCCAAGTTTTTTTCAAGTACTCCTATATATTCTTTTCTCTCCTCCATCTGCATCTGCAGATTTCTTATCCGTTCGTGGTCCCCCATCGAGTTCTACAGTACGACGTCAACAGTCAGAGTGAACGAACTCCACGAGTATCGCCGAGGTAGAAATACGGTTACATCAAAAGAAATTGAAACGAAAAAACACATAGTACCGAGAATGTAGCATATTTTATTTTTAATTAATACGCCGAATTCACACGAAGATTTTGGTGCCGACCGGCATGTTTGCAGTGATCGCTTTGTACCGATCGCTCACGTCGGTTCGACGGAAACGGACGAAACACGTGTTCGTGCCCACCTCCTCGATGTTGGTGTCTTCGAGCGTACTTCTCTTCGTCCGCTTCGGGAATTCCACCGAGTTCATCGATGACAACTTCGTCTTGCTGAACTTGTTCAGCTCGTCGGAAACAAACCGTTCGCATTGGGGAGACAGCATTTCGTCCTCGAGTTATTTCGAAATGATCTGTCTTGGCGTTCTCTTTCCTCTCTTTATTATTTTTATTTAGACGGATGACGTAATGATGTCGTCATGTGTACCCGGAATCGTTATTCACTTCTTCGCGACGTACATCAGGAACACCATGTCTTCGATGTCGTCGGGATCGATGACTTTCGATCGTCTGACCGCATCCAGTTCCTCTTTCCGTTCGGTGCGCACGGTCAGCAGCAGGGACAGCGCGTGCGAGAGAATCCAGCAGGCGACGGTCGCCCACCAGTAGGCGGCGAACGGCAGCAGCGAGACGAACGACTGCAGAGGCTCCACGTGAAAGAAGAGGCCGGCGACGGCCACGCACGCGCGAGACGCCGGCGACGCTTCGGCGAGGACGGCGGCAGGAACCACGACGGACGCGATCAGAATCAGAGTTCGAATCCAGAGCTTCCGTTTCGGCGGCTCAGAGTACGCCCATTCCAAGTACATGGCGGACAGCTGGCACGTGAGCACATGTGTATAAGAGACAGACTTCTCCAGAACATCTCGCGCTCGACCGACTGGCGCGGCAACTTCGTCCCGGACACCTTGCCCCGGTAGCCGAGCACTCGCACGTACGTCTCGAAGTCGGGAGGCGCCGGTCTGCTTTCCAAGAGGACCTGTCGAAGTGATAACGGAGCACGTTGGCCGCGACGTCGGCCATCCTGTTCGCGCCGAACGTCCATTCGAGGAAGACGAACGGCAGGAAGGACAGGACGAAGAACGACGCTCCGACACAGATCACAACCTTCATCAGCCCGTCG